GCTTTGTGAGCTGATTCAAGGCTCATTGCTTTACAAGTGCAATATGCATCCTTGATGTACCATGGCTGGAACGAATGGATGCCGAACACTGACACCCTAAACCCATTGTAACGAAGCATGTCAGTAGTTAATGCAAAGCACTTTAGCTGAGGCTCGCAGACACCGCTCATCATCTCAGCCAATATAACAGCTTGTATTGTGAAGAAGTCAAGAGCATGTCCGCAGCAGCGTGAGTGCATACCTATCGTGCATCTGGTTCGTATTTGGAGCTGTGATATAATGAGGACTACTGGACTACACGTTGCATGGCTTTGTTAACCCATGACTTTCTGTTAAAATGTATCAACATGATATTATGGAAATATTAATCCAAGAATAAATTTAGACTCCAGGAGAGCATCTTGAGATATTAGGAACACGTAGAACTGGCCAAAAGTTTATGAAATTTCTATTGCATTTTAATTTGTTTTTTTTTTGTTTTTTTCCAATTACAAAAAATTTTTTCCTCCATTTTAATCTAGCCCTCACAAAGTCTTGCCATTGAGCATCAAATAGTTAATTAGAATATAATTAAGAAATCTCTAAAACTATTACAGACATATTTAATGATGCATGGTCCAGAGATCTTTTTTCAAGCAGTCATATTTCTCCTGATCTTATAACTGGAAATGAAATAATTGCAAGGGGTGCCAACTTTTTTTTTCTTTTGAAAGTCAATGTAATGTTTCTGAAAATAAACTGAATCTAGAGCAGGGAGTGCACTGACTCCCCAGTGTGCAGAAACTGGACAATATTTGTGATACTGTTGGCTGGACAGACTCTTGGTGGCTCAAACGGAGAGCCCCAACAGTCCAGGTCACTGAACAACTATCAGATACCGATGACCAACTTCCATTCACTACTGGGGGAGAATCTATTCAACATGGGGTCCAAGTGACGATGAAGTCGATGCCCAACTATCAGACAAGCCAGCCAGTCCTTAATATTTAAAAATTCAAAATTTCCATTCTGTTTTCAATTGACTAGGACAAAAATATACCCAAACCCAGAAAAGCAGCACCATTTCAACCAGCTGTTACCATTTAAAAAAAAAGATGTTACTGCTGTTGCACAGTTCAAGTAGAAACAGCCATACTTACAGCCAAGACAACACCTTAAAAATAAAAAAACCCTATTCTATCTAGCATCTAGGACACTCACTTCAGACACAGGAGACCTGCGCTCCATTCCTTGCTCCACTGTGCACTTCCAACAGTTTGTTATCTTTCTATTGGTTGGACTGATTGTGTTTCCGGTAGAAGGATGGGCTCATGGCACAGTTACTCCATGCCTCTGCTCCCCATCTGTTGAAGAGGGATCAGTGCACTGTGATACCCAGGGAGATTACAATAAAAATATTTCAGGACTGGAAGGGAGCCCCTGGATCCTACAGCCCAGCCTGCAGTTATCAGAGGCAACCATGTCATATAATCCCTTTAAAAATGGATGAAACTCCATTTTACACCTATTGCGGTGATTTTTATTCTTTTTAGAACACAGTTATATTAAAGGACCGCTGCAGTTATACTAAAGGATTAATATTGTCAAATGCCACAGAAATGGGGACCGTGCAAAAGATCTAAAATCAACAGCTATCACTACAGATTTGAATGGCACAGTATATACACATATCTCTCCAACCACTCTTAGGTTGGAGAGATTTGTACCAGTTTTGGAGAATTCCTGTCTTTAAACTGGCTAAATTTTTCAAGCTGGCAGAATTTACGTGCGCTCACTGAAACCTGGTTCCAAAGTACTATGATCATGTCGCTAGAAGGTCACAATTTCCTTCATTTCAGTGAACTTCAACTAGCAGTGGTAATAGGTAATTACTCTAGACTTTAGCAGCTTTGGGCACACACATTCTTGGTTTCTCCAACTGTGACATGCATGTATGCCAGACAGGCAGATGCGGGCAGAATGTAAACCCTAGAATAATAAAAAATGACACTTTTAATTTTATTTTTCCCCTTTCGTATTTTAAAAGCACGGGTAAAAATATGACCAGAACTCAGTGGAATCTACTATGGGGATGGAAAGGATTTACCTTCCTTCCTCTGGAGTGTTACAGAGGTGTTGGTCTAAGGACAGAGGCAGACAAGACTCTTTGGGTACATCTGATATCTTTTATTAGTTAGTATATTTGAGTTGGTCTAATAAAAGATATCAGATTTATCCAAAGAACCTCATCCTCCTCTGGAGTGGGCATTCGAAGCTTTCACAAGTATAACGACCATGGCAGCAGATAAAGAAAAAACAAAAAAACTTCCAGCTTGCAAACAAATATCCCAAATATCGTCAATATTGCTTTTTTCCCCCCCATTGCACATGATACAGCAACGAGGTCAGAGCAAAGCTAGAGGTGTATTCTGCACAGCCGCTGTTTTGTCCCTGTCCTGCACTGACACTGATCGGCTACCGCGGCTGTATTCATGAAGTAGGACCTTGGACAGCAGCTAGTTAGTCGCTTCTCCATGACGGCCTGTCATGCTGTCAGTCCTCTCCTTCGGGCTGTCCTGAACATCTGAATCACATTCTCTCTGCACTTTCTCACTGACTGCAAGCTACTGTTGTCTCACTGTCTGACCTTACACAAACACAATACAAACAGACAACCCACCTCAGCTCCATCACTGTCTATTGCTAATATAGGGGATTGATAGCCACATGGAATTATCTCTCCGCTCGACCTTCATTACCGGCACAGCATATTCCAACTGACAGCCAACCTCATTCAAGAGGAAGCTAAACTAACAGCGGAGGGTTTTGGTTGTTTTGGGGGTTTTTTTGCCCTCCAAGTGAAGTGAGTAACTTCCAGGTTTTAAATAAAGTCACATTCATATGCCCCTCTCAATAAAATGCTTTCATTAAATAGCAAGGTGTGTGTTTTCCCCTGGGGAGAACAGACAACTGTGAGCAAACAGGACCTGCAACCTTCAGCCTTTTGATTTCTAATTAGACATCTGCTAATGATTTGGTTATAGCAAAAAGGAAGGAGAGTGACAGCAAAACCCAACCTTCCCTTCATGATGCATGAATATTCTTTAAAAAATTGCTGCATTCACAGACATGACCTTTTTGTGTTATTACTGGCCTTGCAAGTAGCACCTAGAGAACACATCTAAAACTGGGGTCCTGCTGCCTTGGGAGTGGGGCAGACAACGAGTTTACAGACTGCTGCTTTTCTGCCTGCTGGTTTTAATCCAGGGCAGCCTTCTCCCAGAGCCAGCAAGACAGGGTAGTTATCCATACTCACTTAGTTTAACCTGCCATACCATTGACATAGGTGCACTGCTCTGTTACACCAGGGTCAGCAGAGTTCTGGCTGCTATATGGTCTGAATTAGAAATCCATTGATTTCAGTGGGCTTTGAATCAGGCTCCAAACATGGATCCTCTTCTATACACAGAGCCATGATGCATTCTGTGTATAGAAGAAGTAGGGCTAAGGAGCAGTGAACAGCCGATAATAACCTCGTCATGACAAGCACTCTTGTTTTGGCAGCATCTTCCCCAATTCACTTCTGTTCAGGTCATTTCTAGATAGCCTATTTGTCACACCCCCATTTGGAAAGAAACTGCAATGGCATAGCTGCCCAAAGTGCTGGGAGCCTTTTTACGACTGGATCGTTACATGGGGATTTGCACAGCTCTGGAACTATGCAAGTATTGGAAATGCAAAGTGCCCCGTGTGCTCTGGGACGGACGGTGCCTACACACCACACAATACAATCCTGTGCACTGCTCGTGCTCTCTCACTTACCTTTTTGGCTCTGGGTTCGGCTGGGACTTGGAATCTTTCCTTTTTTTGGACTCCTTTTTGGAATCCTTTTTTGTCTCCAGTTCAGTGGTAGAGGGGTTAGATTTGCCCCCCTCGCTGTCTGCACTTGGCTGTGACCCACCAAGCAACTCAGTCAGCAGTTGGCTTTGGGGAATGATTTCAAGGGAAGGGTGAAGGGAAGGGGGTGAAGTCAGCAGCAAAAGTAAAAGAAACAGAAGAAAGCAAGAACAAAGAAATGAAAATGATCCAACTAAAAACACAAAGCAGAAACTTGCAAAAGAAAGTCAGAACTCAAACAAAATTAAGGAAACAGAATCTGCCTCCATGACAAGACATAGAAAACCAACTGTGAATTGAATGGAAGTCTCGCAATATGAAATCCAGACAATGCATGTCATAATTCAGGGGGATGTTTACCCGAGAGTTTACAAAAAACACAATTATTTTATGGCACTCTCTTCCTCAGCAACACATATAGAATAGGGCACGATAGCTTCGGCTAAATGATGCAAATTGAAAAAAAAATTGGAGTAAGAAGCTGCAACAGCTCCTGTAGCTGTTAATAAAATACACAGAGGAAAGGAAACTTCGTAGAGCTACACTTCCTGATCACAGAAGCTTTGCTGTATTTGAGCATGGAATTGGCAAAGTATGAACCTAAACCTGCTGTAACAGCAAGATGTGGCTTGATATTTTGAACAATGCCTATGTGATTGAGGAACCAAAGTCCCACTGACTTCTAATGAGACTCAAGCTCCTAATTGCCTACATGACTTTCGTAAATGGGACTGACATGCTTCTGATCATTTGACCTGTGGCATTTCACTGGACCCTCTCATTTATTAACAGCTGCCGACACAGCAGATGATCTATTTCCATGTGCGTTGTGTATAACAGTGACAGGCGCTTCACCCACCTCTCCGGTATCCAGAATTGCACGTAACAGGTTTGTGGGTTACAACTTAAAATACCGTCATTCTGGATCTGAATGCACATTTTTATTGCTTACATTTAAACAAGGAGAGAAATAAACAAATACACCAATCATGCCACCACCAGCGCTGCTGCCAAACATCCAGTATGACAACAAATTGGGGGCTGTTGTGCATTATCGAAGGAAACCTAGTTTACAAAGCTATCCCTTGCTGGCATTTAGCTGCTAAATAGGAATAATTCCTTACCTGTTGCCATGAACATGGGATGCACAAAAGGCAAAGCTGTAGTGAAGCAAGGTGGGATCAATCATAGCTCCGTTTTCTGCGCGTTCGAGTAAATCTCGGAGGTAGCAGAGATGTCTGTGACAGCCTCTGACTCCATTACGTGCACAATACTCATCTAGCACAAATACCTGGCCAGGACTGAACCAGCCCTGTTTAGAAATAAAGAGACTTGATTTTAAATAAAGGTTGTTGAACGCAAGAGTTATTTGCTTTGGAGATGAAATGCTCAGCTGCTCTACCCCATGCTACAAACCGAACGGTAGGTAAAAGGCAAGGAGATTGGGGCCTGCATTTTTCAGTTCAAATGATGCACACTGTGTGGCATAAAACACCCAATATACACCTGCTATAACTCCAATGAAAAGCACCAACTTTAAAAGAAAAGGTTATTCCAAATGCTGCAGAATGGAGATTAGGGTCAGTGTTCAATTTCTATCATCAAAAAGTTTTTTTATTTTTCAGGAAAGACAAAGATTTGTTTATCCCCCCAGCACAAAGAGGCAATGTCCTTGCTTTTGGGAGGATATTGTACATTCAACCATGACCAAGATGATGTTCCTCTCCTGATCAAAACAGGGAGCAACTTTATCTCAACATTTAGCAAGTATAGAAATGCACTTAAGACACCTAAATAAGGGTCCACGGTCCTGGAAATGGAAATATCACATATTCCTCATTTCTGTGAGCAGGAACACAGATTGGATCCCACCTATAAAAGTCTCTAAGGTCAAAACTGATACACCTGGATGCAGAAGTGGCTTTGTTACTTCTTTCTTTTAACATCCAGCTCAACTTTGAGCCATTTTGGCACTTCTGCCTTAGTGCCCATGAGATTGGGCTTCAGGTGTGAAGTCGCCACGCTCCTGGTGACCTCAGCCACCCTGGTTGAGGTAGCATGAAGCTACAGGGACTCTTTGGGGACAATGCGTGTAGAAGATACCCCACCCATTTGCAAAAGCCCCTAGCTCAGATATGACTGTTCTCACAGAATGCTTTTCAAAACGCTGCAAAACCATCAATATTTACATGGAAATGTGGGTGCTACACGACTGATAAGATGCAGCTCTGGAATGCATCCGGCTGCAAAATCTTTCATCATTTAATTGAAAAGTTCCTGCAGCGGGCGGGAGAGTAGTTGAGGCGTGCACTGCCCCTATAGGCAACTTCGTTGCCACCCCATCTGCTACCCCAAATGCTACATCTCAGAAACAACACTGCTGTGAAAGATTAAGATATATTTTCTACCACTCAGATGACACCAAATCTTTTCTAGATGCCAAAATAGCTGCTTTGAAAAGAGTTGAAGAAATATCAATTAAGAGCTCAAAGGCATCGAAAGGGATTTGCTCATCCTTATTGGGCCAACTCCAAGACAGATTGAGAAAAGAATTGAAATAATGAGGGGGAAAATTACAGATATAGGAAATAGATACAGTTCTGGGATCACCAGAAAGTGCACGCTACAAAATTAAGATACCGAGCTATGGGGAAGGGGCACCATGGTAGAAGTCCATTTTTTGGCAGGGCTTTTTATCCTCCTTGTTTTCGCTGGTTTTTGCAAGCCCTCATTCCAGGCTGAGAATATGTTTCCTTCTGTTAGTCTGCGTTTCTTTTTGTTACATGCTATGATCATTTATTCTCCCCTCCTTTTCCCCCCACCAAGCTCAGGGCTTTGTAGAACAGGGAACAGGAGCATAAGAACGCCCCAATACAATCATTAAGCATATGCATGACTACCAGGGTGCACACAAATAGTCTCTATTCTACTCAATACTAAAGAAATGCGTTATCAAGCCCAGACTAAACATGAATAAAGAAATATTATGAGGAGCATGTGTAA